GGGATTTGAATTTAGTTTGGATGGAATGAATTTTTGTTGTTTGGTTTATAGGAAAGCGAAGGAAAATTGAGTGGAAAATGTCTGTAAAATTTTATTACTGACGTGGAAATGAAAAAATGCCACGGTGGCGAAAAAGATATTGTTTTATTTTACAGGTCATTAAGATTTTCAATCAAAATTGATTTCGTGGCAGCTTAACGTGCCATCTGGCACTTCCGTCGACGGAAGGACTAAAATGGTTCCAAAAATTGAAGTTTAATGATTTTTTTAGTACTTTTTTTAGTTCGAGGGTATTTTTAGTCCAAAAATGAAAGTTCAGGGACTGAATCGGGGATATAACCTTTTCTCTTTGGTTCGTTTCAGAACTTTATAGAACTTATCAAGATTATTCTTGTGGCGTTCTAACCTGACTTATCATTCTCGTTCTTAATCGTTCGAGGGTGTGGCATCAACCAACTTTATATCTCTCGTTCTTGTTGCGTCATGGACAACGGGTCAAGGTTTTTACCTTTGGTTCTTGTTGCGACATAAACAACAGGTCAAGGTCCTATTATAAACCTGATCTAGCTTTCCTAGAGTTTAGAAATCCCTTGTTGTGCTGTGGGTCTCATTGTTCTCTTTGGGGTTCTCATCACATGTTATCAATCCAGATCTGCTCAATAAGGCCATTTAAAGCTTCTCGCATCTTCCTAGGTCTAGCTCTTGTGACTGGACCTTCTGGAATGTGTAATGGATCTCTTAACGTGGTACATGTGGGGTCATCTTGATTCCCATCATGTTATTTTTAAATTAAATAAAAATGCCAACTCATAAAAAAAATGGCCAACTATTTTTTTTTTTTTTTTCATGTCATTAGTTAAGAAAAAAAAGAATTGATTTGCTGGCAGGATAACGTGCCACCTATCATTTAATTGATGGAAGGATCGTTTTGGTATCGAAAATGAAAGTTTAAGGATAATTTTGATACTTTTTAAAGTTAAAGGACAATTTTGGTACCTAAGTAGAAAGTTGAGGGACCAAAATGGTATTTAAACCCAAAAATAAAAGAACAATGAACTTTGGTGTGTATGTTGTAAGAACCATTGGTATAGAATCAAACTATGATTTCTATGGAGTGCTTCAAGAAGTCATTCAGATTGAGTACTTTGGAATAATCCATCAACAACGGTTGTTTTATTCAAATGTGACTGGTATGAGATTCCTCCAACTCAAGGGGTTAAGGTAGAAAGAAAACATTGATTGGCATTAATCCCAAAAGATACCTTCGATCTTATGAGCCTTTCATTCTTGCTAGCCAAGCTAGGCAAGTGTATTATATGCCATATCCATCTCATAATAAACAAAGAAAATGATGGGTTGCTGCACTTAAAATAAAGGCTAGGAGCATCATTAAGGCTAGGAGCATCATTAAGGCTCCACAAGATGAGGTTAGAGACGAAGAGGGATTGGCACCACATGTCCAAGATGATGAGCCTCCCATTCCTCAACCAACAAATTTTTATGAGATAACTTACGAACCTATGCAACATTTTGACAGGAGGGTTATTGAAATACATGAAGAAGCTAATGGTTGTGATGAGAACCCCAAAGAGAACAATGAGACCCGTAGCACGACAAGGGATTTCTAAACTCCAAGAAAGCTAAATCAGGTTTATAATAGGACCTTGACCCATTGTTTATGTTGCAACAAGAACCAAAGGTAAAAACCTTGACCTGTTGTCTATGATGCAACAAGAACTAGAGGTATAAAGTTGGTTGACGCCACACCCTCAAACAATTAAGAACGAGAATGATAAGTCAGGTTAGAACTCTATAAGAATAATCTTGATAAGTTCTGTAAAGTTCTGAAACGAACCAAAGAGAAAAGTCTCTCAAAATCTCAAATGTAATCACCTCCCCTAATTAGGGTTACAAGCCCTTTAAATAGGGAAAAGTAATTCTAATCAGAATAGAAAACTAACACCCTAAGCCCTAATCATAATAACCACAAATTGGGCCTTAAATAAATGGATGTTCAGCCCAAAATAATATAAAAAAAGTAAAAATCACTAAAAGTAACCTAAAGTAACATGAAATATCAGTTTGTTACAAATTGCGACAGAATTGCGAGATTGACGCAAACTGTGTAATTTAGCATAAATGACCTCAATTAAGCTTCTCTTGAACCTGAATAATGTTTATCATGCCTTGATAATCATTCAAGCTTTGATTTACTTGTGCATGTTGTTATCAACCCAGATCTGCTCAATAAGGCCATTTAAAGCTTCTTGCATCTTCTTAGCTCTAACTCTCATGACTGGACCTCCTGAAATATGTAATGGATCTCTTGACGTGGTACATGTGGGGTCATCTTGATTCCCATTAGGTTGGGAAGAGATTGAGGAAGAGGAGGAGGAAGGTGAATGGGAAGATTTTGAGACATCTAAGGAAGAAAACATACAAGCTTATGTTTCTGAGAATGATAGCAATGATAACTAAATAAGATTATTGTTTGTTTTTATTTGTATAAATTTACTTATAATTATTTTGCATGCTAATTTTAAATTATTATTTATAAGTTAGTTTACTAGTATATATTTTTTTTTCATGTTTGTAGTGTAGATTTATGGCTCTTTGAGGTGCATCGAGACTTAGGATGAATTAACCCCACAAATGCCCATCTACATTTCACCTACAATGTTAATGCTTGAAATATATATTTTTATTTTGGTTAGTAACTTATTTAATTTAGTTGAAATAGTGTTGCTTGTAATTATTTAGAATGGGGTGTGTATATTGCATGTTTGTTGCTAATTGGGAAGAAGTCTAGTTTTTAAAGGAGACTCTGTCGAGCTTTTAGGAATGCCTTATGAATTAATTGAAATTCAAGTGAGTTTTTAATTTTATATATACAAATTGTTGATCTTGATTAGTAACATATTTAATTTGGTTGAAATGGCGCTATTTATGATTATCTAGATGAAGTTGTCTATGTTGTTTGTTAATTTGTTGTTAACGGCGAGGAAGTTTAGTTTTTAAGGGAGACTATTGAATTTTTATGAATACTTAATGAATTAATTGAAATTAATATAATATTACTAAATATATATTCTTGATCCTGGTTAGTGATAGGTTTTATTTGGTTGAAATAGCATAACACTTGATTATCTAGATCGGGTTGTATATATTGTGTGTTTCTTAGTGATTGAGTCGAGAAGTCCACCTCTTTAATACCTCTATTTTCTTCATTTAAGTTTTATTACATTCAAAATTTTAAGATGTTAGGATTCAGCACAATGAGAATGCATTGAGACACAATTTGATTCACTTGTGAAGCTGATTTTGCTACCCTTATTCAGACCAAAGACAGTTTGGATAACTATTTCACATCGTCTTTAGTCCCAATTGATCAAAACTTCCAAAGTCTTCCTATCCTTCTTTACTTTTTAATTTTGTATTTTAAGTAGATGACTCATTTCCCATGACACAATTTTATTAATTAAGGTTCACTATCAATTCCATAGGCTCGATTAGGTGTTCTAGCCATATTATTCAGACCATCTTCAGTCCCAATAAATTCATACCTTTTGTTCCCCCCCTTGTCGAGCTAATAAGATGGCTAATTTTCGAATATATTATTCAGATCCTTTTTTTGTCTGAAATACATTTACGCCTTTTCTTTAGCAAAATAAAGTGGGAAATAAAAATTTTAGCAATATCCAGACCTATAATGGTCTAAAGTACTAAATCACCAAATTTTTCCAAAAAAATAAAAAATCTAGTCACCGTGTGCCAAAATTCGAAGTTTTTATTTCAAATCATTTACGATATGAATTATTTCCACTTATTTAAGACACAGTTGTGCCTCATTCCTCAAATTAGTTCTTTTTTATTTAAGCCACAGCCTTATTCTGTGCATCCTCTTTTGTTGCTTCCCTTCCTCTTTCTCTTCTTCTTCGCATCGTCTCTTCTTTCTTCCCTTGTTCTTTATTTTTTTTTTTTTTGTTTCTTTCCTTTCTCCAAATTTCTCTTTTTATCACCTCATCCGTCTTTTTCCTCCTATTCCTTCCTTTTCCTTCTCTTATTATCTACTTCTATTTGTTTTACTCTTTTCATATTTTCATATCTTTAATATATATATATTGGTATTTCATTTCTTATTTTTATGTTAATATATAAATCTTCACTAACTTG